TCCAGCTTGGGTAACAAGAGTGAAACTCTGTCTCCAAAAAAAAAAAAAAAAAAAGAAAAAAAAAAAAGAAAATAGATACGTTGCAGAAGAGATTCATGTTTCTGGTGGTTGCAGAGATGTGGCGCTTATCGTGAAGAAAGTGGGCTGGTTGGACTAGCTGACCTTTATGATCCTATGAGAACTTTTGTTTTAAAGGTCAAAAGGGCTGAAACCTATGTCTTCAGACTCTGCAACCTCCTGTTACTTCACTTTTCTGATTTCCTCTTCAGTTCTCTCTTGCTTACTCTTCTCTAATGCCAAGGCTCTCCTATTTCGCAGACACACCAGGCATACTTCTGCCTCAGGATCTTTACTGTTAGTGCCTAGAATTTTTTCATCCAGGCTTACCAAATATCACTTTAGTGAGGACTTCCCTGACTACTCTATTAAAATTAACCCCCCCAACACACATATACATATGTAAAAGCCCCTAATCTGGTTTTGTGCTTTATTTTTCTCCATAGCACCTATCACATTCTGGCAAATCATGTATTTTATTTGGCTGTATTGTCTCTCTCCCTCCTGTTAGATAGCCTGGTACGCAGTAAATGTTAAATAAGTGATTTGTTTTTCCTATACTATAGTCCCACTCCTATTTTATTTGTTTATATTTATATTTATTTTTATTTTTTGAGCCAGGATCTCACTCTTTTACCTATGTGGGAGTACAGAGGTGCAATCACAGCCCACTGCAGGCTTGATGTCCCAGGCTTAAGCCATCCTCCCACCTCAGCCTCCCAGGTAGCTGGGACTATAGGCATGTGCCACCACGCCTGGCTAATTTAAAAAAAATTTTTAGCCGGGCGCGGTGGCTCAAGCCTGTAATCCCAGCACTTTGGGAGGCTGAGGCGGGTGGATCACGAGGTCAGGAGATCGAGACCATCCTGGTCAACACGGTGAAACCCCGTCTCTACTAAAAATACAAAAAATTAGCTGGGCATGGTGGTGCATGCCTGTAATCCCAGCTACTCAGGAGGCTGAGGCAGGAGAATTGCCTGAACCCAGGAGGCGGAGGTTGCGGTGAGCCGAGATCGCGCCATTGCACTCCAGCCTGGGTAGCAAGAGCGAAACTCCGTCTCAAAAAAAAATTTTTTTAAGTTGGGGTCTCAATATGTTGCTCAGGCTGGTCTCAAATTCCTGGGCTCAAATGATCCTCTTGCCTCAGCCTCCCAAAGTTCTGGAATTACCAGTGTGAATCACTGCACCTGGCCCATACTTCTATTTTTAAAGCATAAAGGCCTTTAAGTTATACATTTACGTCACTCAAAGTTCTACAACGGCTTAGTTCGTAATTGAGGATGAAGACAGACTTGCAAATCAAGAGAGGGTATGGAGAGCCTAATTCAGGGATCCCATTCCCAGAGCCCAGGTATATTGATTTTATGACCACCAACAGATCTGTCCAGGACCTTGATTTTTCTTATTGGTAAATAGGGGGTAGCTGCATGTATAAGGTGCTTGATACCATCATGATTTGTTTGTTATTTGGCATCATGGTGGGCTGAGGCTCTTGGAGTCTCCATCCAAGGGCTCATTAATAATGAAATGAGAGCTCTCCTGATTTAATGCAGTGGTGCCAATTCCCTGGACTGGTAACTGCTGGATTGTTTCCATCCATTCATACCGAAACCATTCTAGTGCCAAGCCCTTGACTTTACTAAAAAAAAATCCTTCCCTGCCTTAACAGCTTCCCCTTAATTCCCATATTTGGTAAATAGTCTCTTGGAGACACTGATGTGACTGTTTTAGTTGAGTTCAAAGGGCCTTCTGATCCTGAAACTGATTTTCTTTGACTCTAGTGCAGCTAAGTTTTTGGGTATTTTAAAAAATTTGTTTCTGTTTTTGTTTTTTTTTGAGGAGGGCTTATTGAAGAGGGCTTATTGCAGTTGTGGGGAACAGTGGGTACGTTGACCATTGACTTGGAAACCTTTAATTTCTTTTCCCCCCAAATTATTTTTTTCCTTTTTCTTTTTTTTTAAATGGAGACAGAATCTCGCTCTATCACCCAGGCTGCAGTGCAGTGGCATGATCTTGGCTCATTGCCACCTCTTCCTCCCGGGTTCAAGCAATTCTCCTACCTCAGCCTCTCGAGTCCTGGGGACTGCAGGTGCAAGCTGCCACGCCCAGCTAATTATTTGTATTTTTAGTAGAGACAAGGTTTCACCATGTTGCCCAGGCTGGTCTTGAACTCCTGAGCTCAGGCAATCTACCCACCTCGGCCTTCCAAAGTGCTGGAATTATAGGTGTGAGCCACCTCGTCCAGCTACTTTTTTCAATAATTAGCTGTTTGTCTTTGGGCACATTCTTTTTTTTTTTCTTTCTTTCTTTCTTTTTTTTTTTTTTTGAGACGGAGTTTCGCACTTGTTACCCAGGCTGGAGTGCAATGGCGCGATCTCGGCTCACCGCAACCTCCGCTTCCTGGGTTCAGGCAATTCTCCTTCCTCAGCCTCCTGAGTAGCTGGGATTACAGGCATGCGCCACCATGCCCAGCTAATTTTTTGTATTTTTAGTAGAGACGGGGTTTCACCATGTTGATCTGGATGGTCTCGATCTTTTGACCTCGTGATCCACCCGCCTCGGCCTCCCAAAGTGCTGGAATTACAGGCGTGAGCCACCGCGCCCGGCCTGGGCACATTCTTTAACCATTCTGGGTCTCAGTTTCCTCATCTCTAAAGTGGGATTAATTTCTGCCTTTCCTAGATTACTGTGTTATCATGGGATAGAAAATGAGAGACAAGTAGAATGCAGTATTGAAGCAAAAGACATTCAGCTTATTATTCTTATAGTGCCTCCATCAAGGCCATGGGGATGGGGTGAGGAGCATTAGGTTCTGAGAGCCTGGGCATTTACATTTCTTAGAATTTTCTTCCCCAGAAAACTTGAAGAGAGGAAGGTTCTTTGCTTCAAATCTGACAAGCTTCAGATTGTCAATGGGTGGTTATCAGGATAACCATTGACAATGAAGGAAGGAAGGAAGTCAATGGGTGGTTATCATGATTTTTCAGCCTTATTTCTCAGTGAATTTGTTGGTCCAGATGTGCTGTTAATATGTTTCTAATTTTGCCGGGCGCGGTGGCTCAAGCTTGTAATCCCAGCACTTTGGGAGGCCGAGGCGGGTGGATCATGAGGTCGAGAGATCGAGACCATCCTGGTCAACATGGTGAAACCCGTCTCTACTAAAAATACAAAAAATTAGCTGGGTATGGTGGCACGTGCCTGTAATCCCAGCTACTCAGGAGGCTGAGGCAGAAGAATTGCCTGAACCCAGGAGGCAGAGGTTGCGGTGAGCTGAGATCGCGCCATTGCACTCCAGCCTGGGTAACAGGAGCAAAACTCCATCTCGAAAAAAAAAAAAAAAATGTTTCTAACTTTAACTCTGATAATGCCTTTCCCCCGCCTGCTGCTTTCATTCTGTAGTCTTTTTTTTTTTTTTTTGAGGCTGAGTTTCGCTCTCGTTACTTTAGGGGTTTCACCATGTTGACCAGGAAGGTCTCAATCTCTTGACCTCGTGATCCACCTGCCTCGGCCTCCCAAAGTGCTGGGATTACAGGCGTGAGCCACCGTGCCCAGCCCATTCTGTAGTCTTGATATTTGTCATTAATTTCACCTTCTTCATCAATTTCTTGGTGGATAAGTGGCAAGATTCTTTATCTCAGAAAGTTTCTGTGATTTTAACTGCTATTGTAATAGAAACCAGTTGCCTCTAAAGAGTCATCTCTTTCTGGAAATATTTTAGCTGTGCGTTAAGAAGAACATTATTGCTGGGCGCGGTGGCTCAAGCCTGTAATCCCAGCACTTTGGGAGGCCGAGGCGGGTGGATCACGAGGTCGAGAGATCGAGACCATCCTGGTCAATGTGGTGAAACCCCGTCTCTACTAAAAATACAAAAAATTGGCCGGGCGCGGTGGCTCAAGCCTGCAATCCCAGCACTTTGGGAGGCTGAGGCGGGTGGATCACGAGGTCAAGAGATGGATACCATCCTGGTCAACATGGTGAAACCCTGTCTCTACTAAAAATACAAAAAATTAGCTGGGCGTGGTGGCGCGTGCCTGTAATCGCAGCTACTCAGGAGGCTGAGGCAGGAGAACTGCCTGAACCCAGGAGGTGGAGGTTGCGGTGAGCCGAGATCGCGCCATTGCACTCCAGCCTGGGTAACAAGAGCGAAACTCCGTCTCAAAAAAAAAAAAAAAAAAAAAATTAGCTGGGCATGGTGGTGCGTGCCTGTAGTCCCAGCTACTCAGGAGGCTGAGGCAGGAGAATTGCTTGAACCCAGGAGGCGGAGGTTGCGGTGAGCCGAGATTGCGCCATTGCACTCCAGCCTGGGTAACAAGAGCAACACTCTGTCTCAAAAAAAAAAAAAAAAAAAAAAAGAAGAACATTATTTTCTTCCATGCTGGTGACTTTGGAAAGGAGTTGTCATCAGTGCAATGAACTTGGTCTGGGACATCCTTCCTTCCCCATGGGCTGGGCCCCGGGATCCTCTGCTCTTCCTGGGAGGGGCCTTGGGAGTGCACTTTACTCTAGGCCAGGACATTCAAAGACATGCAGAAGCCATTGGTCGCACCTGCCAGCAACAGAAGCTGGTTTGTAAATGTCTGTTTCAGGTCTTTCACAATATCTTGTGAATGACTGTTGCTCCCATACCAGATTCTGGTGACCTGATCTGAGGCTTGACAGCTGTGGTGGAGACATGGGTTGGCAGAAGCCTACCTTGGTGTGTTGGAAGAGTGATTGCTTAGTGTATAAGGTGCCTTCTACAGCCCATTTTGCAGTAGTTCTGGCTGCAGCTCTGCTGCTTTGACCTTAGGGGCCAGATTTCTTGGCTCCTCCGTAGGGGTGATGTTCTTTCCCTCCAGACACAGGTGGAGGGAATCCTGACAGTTGCATCAAGACTGATCCAGACTCTCACCACACTTTCTTCTGTGCTGCTTGGTCCTGACTGCCTTTTGAATCTCTTTTAGAGCTCTGAGCTCTTCACCCTGACCTATGGTGCTCTGGTCACCCAGCTATGCAAGGACTATGAAAATGATGAAGATGTGAATAAACAGCTGGACAAAATGTGAGTGAGCACTTCCTTTACAGGAGAGACAGAAATGGGGCCTCCCAGCACACTGAGTCTGTATTGTCCTTTAGAGCTTAAAACAGGGTTCTGTCTCTTTCTCAGCCAACATTTTGGGTACATTTCCCACTGAACTCACTTATTGGAATGTTTTTGAGATTATCCCCATTTTTCCTTTACCACCAACAACCTTATGTTCAAAAATAAGATATTTAGACTCTGTCACAGTCTCTTCTCTAATTTCCTCTCCAGGGGCTATAACATTGGAGTTCGACTGATCGAAGATTTCTTGGCACGGTCAAATGTCGGGAGGTGCCATGACTTTCGGGAAACTGCAGATGTCATTGCCAAGGTCATTATTCTGGGCCACCTGTCCATGCTGAAGAATTACTGCTGGGAGGCACTGCTTACCATTCTTTCTGTCTCCCTTAGAGAGGCCCTTACTCTCCCAAAAGACTGGGTAGGCAGCTCTTTGGGCCAAAGGAGCATTCCAGGTCGTTAGGGAATAGCATAGATTATTTAATCCCTGTGGTTAAAGCCCCACTGAAATCAAAGCCTGAGCTCTTCCACCATGAAGGTGTAGCAGAGTAGCATGGGGTAGAGAATACAGACTCAAACCTGGCTCCGATACTTACTAGTTCTGTGTTTAGGTAAGTTACTTTTAATTTCTTTAATTACCAGTTACCTCATCTTTAACATGAAGAAAATAAGAGCAACCTTACAGGGCTGTTTTAAGGAGTAAATAAATAATGGATGTGAACATTTAGGTAAAATGCTAGTGTTCAGCATAGCTTTGTGCATATAGTAAATGTTTACTATTACTAGTATTAGTGCTATCTATTATAGCATTAATAAATGACATAGCAGCTGGGCACAGTGCCTGGAATCCCAGCACTTTGGGAGGCCGATGCGGGTGGATCATGAGATGAGGAGATCAAGACCATCCTGGCCAACGTGGTGAAACTCTGTCTCTACTAAAATACAAAAAGTTAGCTGGGTGTGGTGGTGCACGCCTATAATCCCAGCTACTTCAGAGGCGGAAGCAGAGGAATCGCTTGAACCTGGGAGGCGGAGGTTGCAGTAGTGACCTGAGATCGCGCCACTGCACTCCCGCCTGGTAACAGAGCAAGACTCCGTCTCAAAAAAAGAACAAACCACATAGCACCCATAACTTTGTGGTGTCAGTTACCTAAAAATTGATCTTTCTGTTGTAAGCTTGCTGGTCATACCCAAATCCTAAAGAGGATTGACAGTGGAGAGAGCTTTGTGAGAGTTTAGAATTAGGAGGGTGGATAGGGTAGGACATTTTCTCTGCCCAGTAACGTGTATTCACTTTCAAGAAGGTGCATTCAGGTAGCACAGTCAGAGGACAGGGAAGTGGGTTAGGGCCTCTCTGCCCTCAGGCAGCCACCACGTCAGACGATGAGTGCTCCCTGAGTGCTCCCTTTCACTGAGAGGTACAGGCAAACAGTGAGTGAGTTGTTGCTTGCTTGTATGATGCCTAGGAAAGAAAAAGGTTTCTGGGAAAACAAAACGACAGCCAAAATTGTCTGAGGCCTTGAAGGGGAAGGCGCAGCATCATGCACAGACACTTCTCCTTTGTTGCATGAGTGTCTGAAGCCTCATCATCTTGTGGAGGCCATGGGTTTTTGTCTGAGCCACTTACTTCCCCTGTGCCAGTTCTGTCACCCTCCCTGTGGTACAGTTACTGCTGCTCTTCCCCAAAGTGCTGTTGTGTGTCCCCTGACAGGTGGCGTTCAAGATGTACTTGGGCATCACTCCAAGTATTACTAATTGGAGCCCAGCTGGTGATGAGTTCTCCCTCATTTTGGAAAATAACCCCTTGGTGGACTTTGTGGAACTTCCCGATAACCACTCATCCCTTATATATTCCAACCTCTTGTGTGGGGTGTTGCGGGGAGCCTTGGAGATGGTGAGTACAGCTCTTTATCTTCTGGGACACCTAAAACTCAATGGGAACTTGATAAGTGTTGAAATGAATGAAAGAGAGAAAACAAAGGGCTTTGACTCACCCCAGTGCTTTACTGCCTGAGATGGTGATGCTGCTGAGGTAGGATCCAAGTCAGACATCTTTACGTGGTGATGCTCCTCCCTGCCAGTCTCAGACATGGTGCTGTCAGGCCCCAAAGCCCAGGAACATCCATTGTCAGATTGGCTTATTTGGTGACAGTCTGAATCTTGGGTATTCTTTGCCGAGTTTCTCCTTAAGGGTCAGGGCCGCTGTCTTCTGTAAGGGAACATTGGTGCTGTCAATCCTGCCTTTTTGGGAAACGAACCCTACATGCTGTGGATGGGTCAGTTATGCCCCATCCCCACTGGTTCCTTAGAGGCTGTGGTCAGGCAGCTACCCCTTCATTTTCCCACTGCCCCCCAGGTCCAGATGGCTGTGGAGGCCAAGTTTGTCCAGGACACCCTGAAAGGAGACGGTGTGACAGAAATCCGGATGAGGTTCATCAGGAGGATTGAGGACAATCTTCCAGCTGGAGAGGAATAATCATCCCTGGGACTCTAGGATAGCCAGCAGGAACACCGTCGGAATCAGCAGGCCTCTGTGCTTCCTCAGCCCTCCAGAACTCAGTGACTCTTGAACACGGATGTTATATATTCTTATAACCTGTTTCCATTCCCCATTCAAATAAAGAGCAGACTGTGATATAGTCCATTTACCCCATGTGTGCACATTCAGGAGCGACATTCTTTGCTCCCATTCCCTTGAGAGGGGCTGGATGTAATCACCCTTGGTTGGACTAAAAAGAGCTCAAACCATTTTACATTCCTGTTTGAATTTTCCAAAGCAAAACCCACTTTGACCCCATTAAGAGGCAAGCCTGGCACATCTATCCCTGGGCCTTTAGAAAGCCATTTGCCTCAGATGGCTATAGGGTTGTGGGGTGGAGGGAGGAAAGGCTGGGAGGGAGTGGGTAGGAATTGCTAGCTGTAGTGTGACACACCATAGTGCTTGCCAGGAAAGGAGCCAGTTATGCCAGAAACACTGACTTCTGGGAAGCCACCCAGGTCTCATTCCTCCCTGCTGTTCGGAGGCAACATCTCCTCTTTTTACAGAGGGTACATCCTTTTTTCTTACAAATTCTTCAATAAAGACACATTCTTGAGTGAAATCCCAATCATGTCCTGTTTTCTTTCTGCTCATCACGGGGTGTTTTGTTAAAAGGGTGTGAGGAGGCCAGGTTGGTTCGCGGGCCCTGCCTTTCTTCGACTTGGTTTAGCAGTGCCTTCTCCCCACAGACCAGAGAGTCTAGGAAACCTGGGAGCCCGGATAAGCAACTGAAGCCTCTTCAGAGTCGTTTTTGGCTCTAGTGTCTGCAGCAAAATCTAGAAGCAGACCATTATTCCAGATGTACCCAAAATGAACTGTCCTGGGCACCTGGCCACCAAGTTAGAAGGTTTAGCTAGAAAGGCCATGTAAACCCTGTTGTTGGGGTGCCATTTATTGAGTGCTTACCACTTTAAAGACACTACTGAACACTTTGTATGCATTAGCCAGTTCACAGGAATTCTATTTTTAGAGTGGAGGCCACAAGTTGCCCAGGTCATACGGTAAGTGGAAAAGCTAGGGTTCAAAGCTGGGCCAAAGGGCAAAACCTATGCTCTTAATGAAAAGTCTCTCTCTTTTTGAGATGGAGTCTCACTCTGTCGCCCCGCCTGGAGTACAGTGGCATGATCTCGGCTCACTGCAACTTCTGCCTCCTGGGTTCAAGCTATTCTGCCTCAGCCTTCTGAGTAACTGGGACTACAAGTGCATGCCACCACGCCTAGCTAATTTTTTTTTGTATTTTTAGTAGAGACAGGGTTTCACCACGTTGGCCAGGCTGGTCTCAAACTCCAGACCTCGTGATTCGCCTGCCTCAGCCTCCCAAAGTGCTGGGATTACAGGCATGAGCCATCACCCTTGGCCCCAAGATGCTTTTGCTACCTGGTTAGCACTGTGGGAGACGAAGGGAACAGGCCCACAGCTGCCTCTCCCAGGCTTACAGAGCCTGGGATAGCCTTTAAAGAAAGGGAGGAAGCAGAGATTGTGGCAGGCTGTATTTGATAGCTCTATTTTTGGGGATAGCCTAGGGTCCTGAGGTCTAGACACTCAGGTTGTTGGAGGGAAATGGGGTCCCAGGCCTTCCCTAAAGTTTGTGTGCAGGTCTGGTCGTGAGGGGAGCCAGTTTTAGATGCACTGTGCTTGAGATGTGTTTTGGTTGTGCAAGGGTAGGACCAGGGTTCTGAGACACCACTGGGGGCAGTTTGCGCAGGACTTACCTGCTCTAACAGGGTGTGGCCACCAAGGAAGGATGGTCCCCAAACATAGGGACATCCTCTGAGCCTCTTTATGTCCCCCTCCATATTACAAGCATCAGCCACCATACCCGGCCTGCTTTCTGCATTTTACAGATGAGGAAACTGAGGCACAGGGAGGTCAAATGGTGGGGTCCCTGGGTCAACTTGGGGTCCCAGGGCAGTTACTCAATTTTGGTCAACTCAGTGTGGGGCTCAGTGCAGTCACACCGGAGTCTAAATGGATGACAGAGATTAAGGGAATGAACGTTGGGGTCCAGATGTGGAAAGCTTTATGTAGTGTCCGGACCCTGCCAAAAAAAGTCAGCTACACTGCCCTTTTTCTCCAGCAGGACCCTTGCCCTTCGTCTCCTCTGAGTACCACAGCCTACTTTTGAGCAGCGGTGTGTATGCCGTGAGGTTTTGGATATTTCCTTTCCAGAGTTAAACTTGGGCAGCGTTACAGGATTAGGGAGCTGTGGAAACAAAGCTCCCATAGTGACTTTTCCCAGTTACAGCCTCACTACTGGTGCTGAGGGAAGGAAAAGGCTGGGGATGGCAGAAGTATTTGGAACATGCAAGCCCCAGCAAACTAACTTCCTGGTCCCCACCCTGTCGTTGATTGGTTGTAGATTACACATCCTGTATTACTATGACTGTGAGGCTGAGACAGCCCCCTTGGCTAGGCCATTCCCTCCCAGCAAGATGGGGCAGGTGTGCCTAGCTATATGGGAGAGGCTGACTAATGAGGATTTCTGGGGAGTCTGACTCATGGCAGAGTTCTGGGACTGGAGGGTTGATGCTGGTTGATGCTGGTGGCCTTTGGTCCTGGGGCTGGCTGGGTGGAGCTCTAAGGAAAGGTCTTGGGCTGCAGTCTTTGGCCACCAGGGGTCTCCAAATCACCACTGTACCATCCCAGAGAGTGACATTGGACCCCTGGTTTTCAGAATTTGCTAGAAGATGCAGCTGATTGAGCAAATCTTAGAGGCTGACAGAAGGCTGGAAGTGTCCCCCTCCTCCAGTTACCCTTATAGGACCCGAAAGCAAAGCTTACATATAGCTACCAGGGTAAGCGCCTGCCTACTGGAGCCAGGGCACTGGAAGAAAGCATTAGCCAAGGATGTCTGACCACATACATACTTCAAACTCTCATGCTGGCCTCCTGAGTTGTACAAGCTAGCTAGCTCCGAGGCTTTGCCTAATCACCCCCCCTTACTTCCTGAGTGGAGGCCAGAGCACCAGCCCCATTCCCCTAATATAACACTGTTCCCTTCCTGCCCCAGACCTCCAACACCAGTGAAATTTCCATTTTCAGGTTACACCTTCTCCTGGGGGGTTGGCCTCCCCTACATTTGTAGACATCCAGGGCCAAGAAGCGGGTGGCAACAGAGGCCTCCGGAGCAGAAACTGCATTCAGTAAAATTAAAATAGTCTCCTAACAAGTAGTTCATTGTGGCTAGTAGGGGGTGGGGGTGCAGGAAAAACGTCCTCCCAGAGCTTAAGTGCTACCATGTGCTGTATTTTGGAAGCCAAAGGGCCGGTGGGAGGGTAGGAGAGAGGAGGGGAGGGTGGTGGCAGGCGAGGAGCTGCTGTTACTGATCCCCAGCCTTTGATGTAGGGCCAGGCCTGACCCCAGGACAGCCGCTGGCCACTGCCAGGGGAGCGGTGGGACTCAGTGCATTCCTGGGGGCAATTTACACTCTGGCAGGAGGAGAGAGGAAAATTTCTACTGTGGGAAGGGGGTGGAGGGAGGGCGCTGCTGCAGAGGTGGGGGATGGGGGGTGTTGTGAAGAACAATGGAGGGAGCCAGGACACAGAGTAGCACTATCCTGCTTCGCCCTGGCTCCCTCACCCATCTCAGGTCCAGGCCTCCTCTAGGAAGCCATCTCTGATCAAACCCAGAGCTGGTGAGGAGCTCACATGGGCTGGCCCAGGTACAGCCGAGGAGATGCGGAGAAGCAGCTGCTCTTTCCTCTTGGCTCTGGGAGCCTGGACTGTCAACCATGAGAGCATCTAGGACTGAGCTAGGCTAGGGGAGGGGTGGGAGAGCGGTGCGCATGGGCAGGAGGACATTTGTGCGAGTGAATGTGGACGAATGTTATTCATAGCAATAGCTAATCTTTATTGCAGAGTGGCCATGTGCCAGCGCTAGTCATGTGATATGCCAGTACTTCACATGTATTTCTCATTTAGCATTCACCACAGCCCTGCCACCGTCTGCAGATGAGGAGACTGAGGAGCATAGCTGGTATGCGGGGGATTCAGCACTTAAACTCAGATAGTCAGGACTTGAACACAAAGCTCCTATCCAATACATAACACGTTATGTGTACGTTTTTGTGTTTCAGTGTCTGTTTCCTTGGGGACTGCCTCTGTGTGTATTTTTTTTTTTTTTTCTGAGACGGAGTTTCGCTCTTGTTACCCAGGCTGGAGTGCAATGGCACGATCTCGGCTCACCGCAACCTCTGCCTCCTGGGTTCAGGCAATTCTCCTGCTTCAGCCTCCTGAGTAGCTGGGATTACAGGCACGCGCCACCATGCCCAGCTAATTTTTTGTATTTTTAGTAGAGACGGGGTTTCACTGTGTTGACCAGGATGGTCTCGATCTCCTGACCTCGTGATCCACCCGCCTCGGCCTCCCAAAGTGCTGGGATTACAGGCTTGAGCCACAGCGCCCGGCGTGTATTTTTTTTTTTTTTTTTTTTTTTTTTTTGAGACAGAGTCTCAATTTGTCGCCTACGCAGCTGGAGTGCTACAGTGGTGCAGTTTTGGCTCACTGCAACCTCCACCTCCCAGGTTCAAGGGATTCTCCTGCCTCAGCCTCCCAAGTAGCTAGGATTAAAGGCATGTGCTGCTACGGCCAGCTAATTTTTGTATTTTTTTTTTTTTTAAAGGTAGAGATGGGGTTTCACCATGTTGGTCAGGCTGGTCTTGAACTGTTTACTTCAGGTGATCCTCCCGCCTCAGCCTCCCAAGTGCTGGGATTACAAGCATAAGCCACTACACCTGGCCAAATTCTTTCATTTAATAAAATTGTAGCTCTGTGTTAGGGGCTAGGGACTGAAGATGACCCAGACCTCGGCCCTGCCTGCTGGGAGCTTCTGCCCATGGAGAAGCAGCTGAATGCAATGTGAGGTGTGAGGGGGAGGGTTGAAAATGAGGAATTAGGGCAAGTCCTGGATCTGCTATCTATCAGCCATGTGATACTGGACAAATGATTTGACCTTTGAGCCTCAGTTTTTTTCACCTGGAAAATGGGAATCATAATGCCTTCCTTGCTGGCTGTTTTAAGGATGAAACAAGATGATCTATGTGAATTTCCTGGCATATGCTGAGTATTCCCTAACTGGCAGTTATGATTAACTCAGTTGTTATTGGGGAACATCTTGCAAAACCACTGTGTGGATGGATATATGAATGTCTGAAAGCGTAAGGAGGGTAAGTCTGTGAAATCAGGGCCTATGTTGTTCCACACTGTAGCCCCAAGCATCTAGCACAGCTTGTCAGCACAAAGTAGGTGCTTAATAAATGTTTATTGGCCAGGTGCGGTGGCTCAAGCCTGTAATCCCAGCACTTTGGGAGGGAGGCTGAGGCGGGTGCATCACCTGAGGTCAGGAGTTTGAGACCAGCCTGGCTAACATGGTAAAACCCCGTCTCTACTAAAAATACAAAAATTTGCCGGGTGTGGTGACATGTGCCTATAATCCCAGCTACTCAAGTGGCTGAGGCAGGAGAATTGCTTGAACCCGGGAGGCAGAGGTTGTGGTGAGCTCAGATTGTGCCATTGAACAATCTTGTCCCCTGGTTGATAAGAGGGAAACTCTGTCTCAAAAAACACAGCC